CCCACACATATATGCATTAAACACTTTTACAGCTAATCTTTTTTTTATGTATCATTCTTTAAGGAAAATGTGTTAAACCAGAGTAGTAAAAATAAGTAAAAGTTACACAAGTAGTTCAAAGTTTAGAATAATTAAGACTGAAATAAGTCATAAATGCTCAGAAAGGCCGAATTTACTACAGTAATATACAATAAAACTGTAATATTTAGATATACACTTTATTATGTACACCTTACTAGTACCGAGTTGACCTCCTTTTGCCTTCAGAACTGCCTTAATCCTTCGTGGCAGAGATTCAGCAAGGTACTGAAATATTCCTCAGAGATTTTGCTCCATATTAACATAACAGCATCACACAGTTGCTGCAGATTTGTTGGCTGCATATCCATGATGTGAATCTCCCGTTCCACCACATCCCAAAGGTGCTTTATTGGATTGAGATCTGCTGACTGTGGAGGCCATTTGACTACAGTGAACTCATTTTCATGTTCAAGAAACCAGTCTGAGATGATTCACGCTTTATGAAATGGTGCGTTATCCTGCTAAAAGTAGCCATCAGAAGATGGGGACACTGTGGTCATAAAGGAAAAGACATGGTAAGCAACAGTACTCGGGTAGGCTGTGGTGTTGTCACGATGCTCAATTGGTACTAATGGACCCAAGTGTGCCAAGAAAATATCCCCTACACCATTACACCACCACCACCAGCCTGAACCGTTGATACAAGGCAGAATGGATCCATGCTTTCATGCTATTGATGTCAAAATTCTGACCTTACCATCCAAATGTTGCAGCAAAAATCGAGACTCATCAGACCAGGCAACGTTTTTCTAATCTTCTATTGGGCAATTTTGGTCAGCCTGTGTATTGTAGCCTTAGTTTCGTGTTCTTAGCTGACAGGAGTGGCACCCGGTGTGGTCTTCTCCTGCTGTAGCCCATCTGCCTCAAAGTTTGATGTGTTGTGCATTCAGAGATGCTCTTCTGCATACCTCAGCTGTAACGAGTTGTTATTTGAGTTATTGTTGCCTTTTTCAGACCATTCTCTGTAAACCCCAGAGATGGCTGTGCATGAAAATCCCAGTAGATCAGCAGTTTCTGAATTACTCAGATCAGCCCGTCTAGCACAGACAACCATGCCACGTTCAAAGTTAATTAAATCACCTTTCTTCCCATTCTGGTGCTCGGTTTGAACTGCAACAGATTGTCTTGAGCATGTCTACATGCCTGAATGCATTAAATTGCAGCCATGTGATTGGCTGATAAAAAATTTGCATCAACGAGCAGTTGAACAGGTGTACCTAATATAGTGGCCAGTGAGTGTATAACAAATTGAAAGACCGGTGCTTGAGACCTCTTAAATTGCTGTCTAATTTGATTGTTTTAAGCTACATTAATCACTTTTTAAAGGCTTAAATACCCACAACACTTTGAATATGCTTCAGATGTGACATTTGTTTCTGATATGGGTTTCAGAATTTAGTGTTAATTTAGAGATCAGTGACAGACCAATACATTTTATTCTTTGAATCCATTTTTGGAAAAATTTACATTTACGGTGGTTTCTACAACCTGAAACTGCATAATATTGTGGCATCTTGGAAAAATCTTGATTGCTCTAAGATGGTGGATGTGTCCACATGTGTTTAGCAGTCATACACTGTAAAGAAAGACAGGTTAATAATTAACAGCTTTCATATTTAGTGATTCGCAGGTTATTTCTGCTTATTTATGTTTGTGAATTGCATTATGAGAAGTTATTTTCTACTTTGTCGACTTCTGAAGTTGAATATTCAACTCCAAATTTTAACAAAGTGACTTTCATTAACAATTTAGTAGAGAAATAAGTCTGTAAAATGTATTGGCAGATTTGTAGAAGGTTTTACAATATAGCACTTTAAACTCCTAAAAATGTTAATAAAAGTCATTTTTTCGAACTTTTCAGAATTAAAAGTTGTTGGAATATCAACAGTTAAATATAAAAAAATAAAACGATGAACCACAAAACAAGGAAGCTGCTAATTTACAGATATTTGTATGTGTATGCGGCTGCTATTAATAATATCTTTCCTAAAAACGTGCTAAACAAAGCTAGTTATACTTAGCTGTAAAACCAGTAGCTGTAATGTTGCGACAACTTAGAACATTTTTTTCTTCCTGTGAGTGATGACATTGATTATTCTATGATGGTGGATGTGCCAACATGCGCTAAATGGTCAAATGTAGCATCTATTCATCCATATCTAATTTATGCTTAGCAATGGTAACTTCACTTAGTCATGTGTTATAATGAAACAGAAATTTGTAACTCAAACATGTCAATTTTTAGACACACACTCGCAAACGTCCCTAACCACTTTCTCTTGGGGGAGTCTCTGCCGCCATTTAAAAGTGTTACACTTTGTCTTGTGAACAAGGGAAGCTTACATGGACATACTCTCAATGCCCTGCTTTTGACTACTTTCAGTCTTAACTTTCTCAAGCCAGCCAAATTTTGTCTTAATGAACTTTTTAATCTAAAGTGTGTAGTTTCCAAGTGCTCAAGGGTTTAGGGCATTCAATTTAAACTCATTAATGTTCTGCCAGTAGTGGACACATGTTTAGCGTATCGTATCATGTTTAGCGTAGCGTATCAATGATGGACATCCGTCAATAAGACGAGTGAAAGGCATAAAACACTGAACTAGAATGCAGCCAGAGTGTGCAATCTGTCCCAAACTTTCCATTTAATAAGAATCTGGGTCGGGAGCACAGTGGTGCAGTGGGTAGCACAATCGTGTCACAACAAGAAGGTTGCTGGTTTGAGCCCCGGCTGGGTCAGTTGGCATTTCTGTGTGGAGTTTGCATGTTCTCCCCATGTTCGCATGGGTTACTCTGTGTGCTCCGGTTTCTCCCACAAATCCAAAAAAATGCGCTTTAGCTAAATTGTCTGTAGTGTGTTTGAATAAGTGTGTATGGATGTTTCCCAGTGATGGGTTGCAGCTAGAAGGGCGTCCACTGCATAAAACATATGCTGGATAAGTTGGCGGTTTATTCCGCTGTGGCGATCCCAGAAAAATAAAGGAACCAAGTCGAAAAGAAAATGAATGAATGAAGAGTCCTGGCCTGAACACATCTAAAATATAATATTTAAGGTGCAGTATGTAAGTTGGACACTCAGTAGTTAAACTAGGCATCGCACCCTGGTTCAAAACACACAAGAGCAAGATGCCAGATTAAGGACACCAACAAAGGCTGATTTAAATCATGTTCTAAACAAAAGCAACAGTATGTGAAAGATTTTCCATAATGAAAGTTTTTGTCCTAACCAACAACTGAAATGTATAATTGAGAAACGCCTTCTATTGCTTACTGCTGAACAACTGAAAACTGATAATCAGGTACAGCTCATGTGCTTTATTCAGTGTTAAATGTTAATAATAATGTAAGTTTGAATGCCATCTTACATGACATTTATTGCCATACTACTGAAAGCAGCAGTAGATACTTTATCACAGATCTTAAAAAAACATTAGAACTGTGACAGTGTAAGCCAACACATATCAGTAATTCAGCATGTACATTTAATAATGTTAAAGAGTCTTAATGTGTATTGATTAGATTGTAAACCTTACCATTTTGTTGGAGTGCACTATTCTTTGCTTCGGTATAACTGCATTTTAATTTTTGTTATGTTGCGTCTGTTGCAAACAGCCCAACTGCTTATCACTGCAAACGTCGTCATGTAGCATGTTATTCACTGGAGGTCACATTTTCGGTTGCGGATGCATGTTTGACAGCCTTCATGACTGAATAAATCACACCAAGGCAAGCTGGGGTGCTGAAATATACAATACTATCTGGATGCAGCCTTTATGATGCAAGCTGAGATTGCATCACTCAGCGATGCAGTGTCAGACACAATGCACTTAAATGGAGCAAGTGAAGTCACTGTGATGGGTAGGGTTAGGCGTGGGGTTAGGTGAGCCCATTAAAAAGCATTGGATGCAGCCCAGATTGCACTGCACCAGGTCTGCATCCAAACCCCTCTCAAAATATAATTGGCTAAACTGTAGAAGTGTGAACCTATACTGGTCTCACGGTTCGGTTAAGATTATCATGCCATCGATTCGGTTCAATTCGATATCTCGGTGCATCAAGGACTAGGTGCATTGACAATGCTTTCCATACACAGTGTTATATTTTGGGGAGAAGCTATAGCAAGCTGTCTGTATAAACACAGACACACAGCAGCACCACACAGTCTCTCACTCGCTCCACACGAGCTCTCCCGGCTAAACGCATATTGCAAGGGCTTCAACGGAGCAGTGCTCGTAATGTCGAGCGAAAAAAGAAAAGAAAAAGACAGCTGTGAAACATAAACAGCTTTGTCTTTTTGTATGAAACACACTTTAGATCCTTTTCGGGTAAAAGGTTTTTGAGTTATTGTCTATAATTGAATGTGTCAGGAATATCGAAAACAAAACCAACTTAACCGCGCTCATTTCTGGCGTCCCCCTGGATGTACAGTGCCCTTAGCATTTGCCAATACTGCCTACGGCCACGGGTCAGCCCTTAGTTGGCTCCAGACTGTTGTAAATACCCGCGCTCACCTCCCTCGCGACAGAGCGCTTAGGAGATAAATGACGTCAGTACATAATAACCGGCTATGATTATTACTGAACCGATACCGAATTGTCCGCGTCTGCATCGCGGTGCACCCACGAAACAATTAATTTTGACACCTCTACTAAACTGGCCTTGGGTGGGGTTAATGACCAAAACAAAGACAAACATTCTGGCATGTAACTCACACTTTCAAAGCAGAATAACCAACTTCAGTATTGTTTTTCAGATAAACAAGAAAATATCTGCAAACATATCCTGGTATTTTTATGCTTTAGAGTCAAAAACTTACATAAAGCACCTTTAATTTCTAGTTAAAGTTAATTAAGTTAATTTCTGTTAAATGTATAAATGCCTTTGTCCACGGATATTTACTTGATTGAATACACTATTCACTGTTTAAAGGCCCAAACAGACATTTTAATTTGTAACAATTATTAATTTGTAATTAATTATTCCAAACTTTTAATGTGAATGAGCTATGATGTGCCACAGTCAAATACAAAGGGGTAAACATAGACATATGTAACAGCGAAAGCCATCATGGCTGTTAGAACAAAAATACAAACATACAACATTTCCCTATTGATACAGTACAGTGTTGAGCAACATCAAATACACAAAAACTAAATACAGGGATTACAGTGACACCACATGGACATTTTAAACAACAGGTATGTCTTAGTTTTACTCGCTAATAAGTTCATTCTGGTTGAGAACAAGATAAAAAATGGTAGTATGGGTTACATTTGGCATTGCATGAGAAAACTGAACATAACTTATTATGACTTAATATCTCTATATTAAATAAATACAGATCAAAACAAAATGTCCCTTTTATATAACTTAAATAATATCTAAAATATACTACCAGTGCTATTTACACAAAATATTATAAATTATCCTTTAGACATGAAGTCTAAGTGTTAATTAATAAGCAGATTTTTTGAATATTAATAAGAATCCACATCGATTAGGTTTAGTCTGTGTTTTGGAAAGTCTGGATAGTGGAGTGAATAATGTATGTTTATTTATCTGGAATTATTCCAAAACGTACAACATTTTAGGTCAGTAAATTTAATTTAAATATTTTGAAAAAAAAATCAGGATGCAATAAATTGATTAAAAACATATTTGTAATATGATTAAAATAGCTTATTTAAATTTTAAATACCTTTAGAAACAAATTCTATTTGAACACAACTGGTGTCTTCTATTTTACCCTCAAAAGGAAGGCACCTCTGGTTTTCTGTAACCTAAAATCCCTTGGAAAAAAGAATCCATTCAAGATCTAACAAAAAATAACCGCACATTACTAAATTATTTTTAAAATATTTAACTATACTTCATTATTTGGTCTACAGACCTCTTGCTGTAACAAAATATATGTGCCAAGTCTGCATTTTGGAACTTCAAAATATTGACTCACTTTATGTTTCTTAAAATAGCACTATAACCATAAACCAGTTTTAAAACCAGCTAATCACAGGTACGCCTTTTTGTGTTGGAATTTGCCAAACTTCACCTGGTGGCTCTGTACTATATGCCTGACTGACTAAGTAACTTTCTCTTTAATTATTTCCTGTGTAAATGACTCCAACATTCTACCCCTATTTATTTTGCGCATTAACTTTCCCTTGGTCCTCCACCTTTTTAATGGCTGCCTGAATTTTGGCCTGGTCGCCCAGAAGCTGACGGGGTTTGACCGGTCGAAGGTCTTCATCCAGCTCCAGCAGGACAGGTACTCCTGTGGGCAGTGTTACATTGACGATGTCTGTTTCAGATATAGCTGTTGAAAAAGAAAACACAAGTATGTGATTTAACTATTAATGTTTTTACTACCAACTTTGTGTAAAGCAAAACTTTTATAGTAATTAATAAATTATAATCTTCAATCTTCAATCTTAAAATCGTTTAAAAATGAGTTCTAAAAGTGTTTTTAACACTAATTTTTTTCCAGTCATATTTCATGAACAGAACACCTAAATGAACATGACTTATTTAAAGTTAAAATCAAAATGTATTTTCTGTCCATATCTGATCAATATAATAGATCTTCTCTGATCAAAAATATTCATTTCTAGCACTTTAATGGCTGTTTATAAGATTGTATGCTTGCTTAGGTCAACTGTCATTAATTCTGCCTTTGTCATGACAACTTGACATTACCAAGACAACAAATTTTGTCAAAAATGGTCAATAGGCCATCATAATGGTTATGAATTTTATAACAGTGTCATTAACCTCAACTACATTGAAACAAATTGAATTTGCCATTAAAATGTCATTAAATATTAATGACACTGTTATAAAAGTATTTGCCAAGAGTATTGACAGAGTATATTTTACTGAGAAATGTTAACGACAAATTCAGTTTGTTCTACTGATGAGAAAAATATTCATGACTATTATAATGGCCTCATGATGATCATGTTTATGACAGATTTATGACAAGTTTTGTTGTTTTGGAAATGTCAACTTATGATCTTATTGGCAGGTTAACACATATTTGCTTTAACAAGTTTTCATAATAACATCTATAACAATGTTAACTTTGCATTTTAAATGACATTTAAACTGAACTCGTAGGTGGTTCATTCCGCTGTGGTGACCTCTGATAAATGAGTAAGCCGAAGGATAGTGAGTGAGTTAGTGATAACTGGACTATTGACAGACACATAATGACAGTTGTAATAAGCATGCATGAAATCTCATGTCATGATTATAAAGGTGTCATAACAGTCTTGTGAGCCCCCTTTAAAATAAAGCATTACCCCAAAACCTAACTTGTGTACAGTAGAGCTGCACGGTTCTGACTAAAATGAGAATTGCCTAAAAAAAAGATCACGATTTTCTCAGGATTCTGTAGATTTAAAAAAAAGGTTAATATGAGTGGGCTATTATTATTCTTTTTATTGTTATTCTCAAACATATGGTAAACAGCAATAGGCTTTGTGTAGCTGTACTGTCAAATTTGAATAGACATGGAATGATGGACTTGAACAGACTTTAGATTTGTCCTGGTCATTAATGCTGATGATACAGTAAGTCTGATGTTGAATTACTGTGTTTGAGTCATATGCTTACAATCTGTCATTTTCTGCTTAAAATCAGTCACTGGCGTGATTTTCATTAATACAAAAGACTGGGTGGGCATTTTTGCATTTCTGTGGGTTTTGGATTCTTTTTGAGTCAGCTACATCTGGCAACACTGTGCACACTTTCGGTTTCATTTTCACTGCTAAGAGCAGTTCACTTCCCGCACAGCTCCCAAACAATCAATCTGTGCCACAAACTGAATGTTATTTACAACTTTATTACCTGTTATTCACAGACTATGCCGGTTCTGTTCACTAAAGTAGACTTCTTTCTCTCTGTGGTAACAGCTGAAGGTCAGCACACGTCATGTGTGATTTTGCAGTCGCAAATACATCATTAAATGTAGACAGAAATGACATTTTTTGGGGTGAATTATATCTTATAAATACAGCATGAGACACTTTTAACACCATTAAGAGGTGTGCATGTTGCTGAACAACGTATGTAAAACGATGTGAAGACTTGTGCGGCCACCATTGCTTCTCTCCTGAACTTGAAAATATGATTGACAGAATCGTAAAAATGCTGGATTAAGATCGTCGAATCAAGATCGCAATTTTTTTATGATTAATTGTGCCGCTCTAGTGTACAGTAGCATACAGTATGCCACTTTACCCTCCAAGTAGTTAAAGACCATATGGTGCCTACTGTATGTAACTCTAACTCAGTGGCCTTTAGAGGGATAATATAACTTTGGCTGTGTCCGAAAGCTTAGGCACCTGACCTACTGCTTCTCTGAGGCAGCGTTTGTGCACTAAGGCACCTCATAAAACGTCAGACAAACATCTGCGGCAGCTTAACAATTTAACCATGTACAACAAAATACAGAGAGCTTTGGTGATAACTAAGGGAATATTTGCTGACTACAATACTAACTTAGTTGGCCAAAAATGCACTTTACACACAAAATGATACCAAAAAGGCCTTTTGAGTTGCCAGGTTAATCTTTTTAGCTGAACTGTCAGAAACGGAAAGCACAGAATTGGGGGATATTACAGGCAAACATCTACTGTAAGCTGCCTTCAAAATTTGATCAAAGTAAGTTACTTCCAGAGACAGGACGAAGCAGAAATTGGATATGACTTTTGTAGTTAAAGCGAAACTTAAAGATTTCTACAATAACTGGACTTTGTTTTTATGCTATTGCAATAAGGAGAGGACATGAAAACAAGAGATGACTGATATACAACACTCAACTCTATTGTATCAAGTATATCTGCTGTGATTTCTGTATCAAAATAACTAACAAGGAAAAGGTAAAAGTGAATTAATTAAACGGATAGGTACGAATAGTGGTTCGGAAAGTTTTCTGATGTTCTGTTGGGTTCTTTTAGGCGTGTGTTTGTTCTCTTTTTGTTTTTTTCTCTGTCCTTTATTAAAATGTACTGTGTTGTATCCAAATCAATTTTGGATTTGGACGTGCCTTGACTTTTTGCCTTGAAATGCTGCCTTCAAAGGCATCATTTTAAAACTTTCAGATACAGCCTTACTTTAAAGGGATAGTTTACCCAAAGTGTTATTTCTGTCATCATTTACTAACCCTCAAGTACTTTCAAACCAGTTTGAGTTAGATTTTTTGTTCGAATTTTGGATGATTTTAACTTTGTCCTATGCATTAATAGACTAATCCTTGCATTAATAGTTTAATTCTGTTTAAACTAATTACATGAACTTATGCTGATGGGTTAATTAAACACACCTGAACAAACTAATTGAGGCCTTCAGGCTCGTGGAAAACCTACAGGTTGCAATGTTGGTAGTAAACTCTTATTGGCTGCTAAGGGTGTGTTCATGTTTGGCTTGACTGAAATGAAGTCTGGTGTGATTCCTCTGGTGTGGTTCAAATCAAGGAAACAAATCCCTAAACTTTATAATGAAAATCTACGAAGATCAGGACACTGAAACAGCAACCAAAAACATTTTCAAAGCATTCTGTGACTTCATTGGTTCAACATCATATGGAGCTCCAAGAACATTTTTGTGCATCCCAAAAAAAAAAAAATGTAAAAACATATGTGTTCGTCTGTGTGCTCTCTGCCTTGTCAAATCAGAGTGCACATTTATTATGAGCAGTACAAAGTATTGCCAATACTGTCAGCAGTGCAACACCAAAGCATTGTATTGCCTGTTTTGTGATTGCACTTGGGACCTGACGGTATCTGATGTGGAAGTAGGGCTGGGCAATTTGGCCTAAAATCAAACTCTTGATTAATTGAACATTTGATTATGATTAATGAACGATTATTTTATTCATTTTTTTTGTTTTTGCCCTCATAGTTCACTGACAAGCTTTCTACATTAAATTAAAAGAAAATCTATTTAAATTTCTTTTCGATTAATCACCCAGCCCTGATGCACTAGAGTGTTCTTGGAGCTTTGGATAATTACGCCCCATTCACACGGGGCTTCAGCGTCAACGCTTGACAGAGGGCGTGTCTGAAGTTGGGGCTACCGCGATCGTCATTGCAGTGTCAGCCAATAAAATTAGTCAGCAATAGTCCACTGTCTGATCTGTTGCCCCGTGTGAATGGGCCGTTACATTTGTCACTGAAGTCACATGGAATGTTTTGACAATGTTTTTGATTCCATCTCAGGACCTCTGTTGTATACAGGGGACCTCTCGAGAGCTCTCAGATTTAATATAGCATATCCTAATTTGTGTTCCGATGATGAACTAAAGAATAAAGGTATTGGAACAATTAAAACAAATGAATCTTACCAACATTAAACCTTAAAATAACACACTGACAACAACAAATATATAAGTCACCTTCCAAGTGTTTAAGCAAAGCCCTGCAGCTGTTGCCATGTGCAGAGATGAGGACCGTCTGGCCGCTTTTGATCACCGGTACAATGACATCATTCCAGTAAGGAAGAAGTCTGTCTAACACTTCCTTTAGACTCTCTGTTTTGGGCAGTTCCTCCTTCGGGACGTCACATGTACTGTATCGACGGTCATTGTAAATTTCAGCATAATAGGGATGTGACTCATGTATGGGAGGTGGAGTGATGTCATAACTGCGCCTCCACAGTTTAACCTGCTCCTCTCCATGGTTTAATGCCATTTCAGCACGATTGAGACCAATCAGGGCACCGTAATGCCGTTCGTTTAACCTCCACGATTTTGTCACAGGGACCCACTCGTGTCCCATGGCCTCAAGCACCAACCAGGCAGTGTGGATGGAACGGCTGAGTATGGAGGTAAAAACCTGGTCCAATTGGTAGCCATTCTCTTTTAAAAGGCGGCCACATTCTTGAGCTTCCACCACACCGTTCTCACTCAGTTTTTGATCAACCCAGCTGCAGAAGCGGTTCTCTTTGTTCCAGGCTCCCTCTCCGTGCCGAAGGAGGAAGAGTTTGTATTTGGACATTCAGAAGAGGTAGTATGGAAGCCTGAAATAGATAATAAAACATTCTCACCTACTTGATTGTTTAAATGATTAGCAATTGGTTCAAACCATGCCCCACGTTTCAGGGCACATGTGATCTGCAGATTAATAGTAATTTCAAAGATTTAAAATTATTGTCATTACACATGTACAAGTTTATAAGGCATCGAAATGCAGTTTAGGTCTAACCAGGACTGCAATAGCAGCAAGTGCAGGATATAGGTATAAATTATAAAGTGCAATTATAGAAAAACTATGGTGATATTTACAGGAGGATGTATGAACATTATATACAGGTTGTGTTAACTATGAACAGTGATTTACAATAGATGGGTATGCTATTAATAATCAGGTTGCTTATAATAATCAGGGTATGCATATACGATTAATTACAAGTGTATATGTACAGTGGGTAGTAACATCTTCTTCATCTTTACCCAAGTTGCAAAATGGTATTTTAAAGGAGACCGAAAAAGAGAACTTTATGTAGGTGTGCAAAAAGCAGCAGCTCATATAGAGTGTGAACATCAGTTTGCTTTCTCTTTCACTTCCTCTTAAGCTTTAGACAAAATAGTATAAATGTATTTAACTTGGTGTATCCTGACATCTGAACGGTGAGTGTATCCTCCGAACACAGTTGGTTATGCATTAAACTGAGCATAAACAGTAAGAAAAAAGAAGGTCAAGTCGTAATAGCACTTTAAGTGACCACAATTGTTAATCAATCATCTAAAGATTTTAAAAAAATAAAAATAAAATAATAATAATAATAATAATATATATATATATATATATATATATATATATATATATATATATATATATATATATATATATATATATATATATATATATATAATAGACCTCAGTCTTCTAAATGTAACTATAGGGTAGGTATAATGTAAGGTATTGTTTGTAGTCATTATTAACATCATGGTTTTCTGTAAAGATGCAATATATACTTTGTATAAAATGTTGTTTGAGTGTGCATAATCATATGTCATATATATATATATATATATATATATATATATATATATATATATATATATATATATATATATATGACATACATAAAATATAAGCCTGCATAAATGTAAGTGCAGAATAGAAATAGAAAGGTTAAGGGTCATGAACTAAATGTCAAATCTAATTTAATAAATGGCTTGATCAGTACTAAAAAAACGTTTATTTTCAAACGCGAAAATATAAAGTAATCGAATTTACAGCCTAATACTTAAATTAATTGAAATACTGATGTAAAAACGACAGAAAATGCAGTATGGCAACAGTACATAACACAGCCAGAACTAGCCTACTAGCATGTCAAACAATTAAATCGTACCGTATATGTAAAACGTTTTTATCTGAAACTGTAATTCATACATTTAAGTAAATATTTAATATAAAGAGGACATGTAAAATTATTAAAAAATCGCTACGTGCTCACCTTCAGATCAGAAACCGCCCAGCAGCTGAAGCTCTGCGACAGGAACTACCATAGTAGCATCAACAAACAGCAGTAAACCGTTTGACTGACTGACTTTACTTTCAGCCAATAAGATGCGTGATTCTCCGTATGTGGGCGGGTTAAGGCGTAACTTGGCGAATAAGAGCACCCGTTATTTTGAGGATGTGTAAACGTCAGTTCCACTTCTTTTTAGGTGAATCGTAGTTTAATTGTATTTTAATTTTGATGTGATTATAACCTTATTCACCTGATTTATTACTTTATCAGGTAGGTCGAATGAATTTATTTAAAATGGCGTCGATGCCATAACGAACACGAACAGTAAGTAGTTAAAGAAAACAAAAACATGTTTGTTGTAGTTAAACTATGGTAAACCACAAATTCACCATTCGCCTTTGCTAGACTAACTTTAACTGTGGTATTTGTTGTTATCCAAATTATTACAACTTGTATTGTAATACTGTACTGTAATATGCTACTGTAATGACTCAGTAAAAGTGCATTTGCATCTAGAAAATGTAAACAAATGGCCAATATTAGACAAAACAAACCAAAACACATGATAGTTTTATTGTTATTAAATATTCATACAAGTTAGCAGTAGCACATATATAACTATCATTACAATATACTTATTATTATAAAATGACAAGTGCAATTCTATAATAATCATATATTAAAATAAATACATATTTTATATGTGTATGTTTATGAGTATTTGGGCTGTAAACAGCGTGATAACAGCTTATAATTGTTTCATTCAGCCAGCTGTAAATGCAATAAAACCAATATAATTAGTTACCAACCAACCCCCCCCCCCCCCCCCCCCCCACCCCCCTCACACACACACAAACACACATCTATGTCATCATTTACTCACTTTAGGCTACTTATTTCTAGCCTTTATGAGTTTTGTTATTCTTTAAAACACAAAATAGGGTATTTAAAAATCTCAGAAACCTTTAACCATTTACTGTACTTCCTTAGTATTTGTTTTTCCTAGTGTGGAAGTCAATGGGTCATTTAAATAGCAGTAATTATTGCTTAACTAGTTGTCTTGTTTTATATTAACATATGGTATAATACATGTTTAAAAATGTATTAGGCACTTGGTCCAGCAAACAACTTCTTCCTGCCTTCCATGCCTGACATCGCATCGACATTTTTACGCCAGTCGGTCACTTCCTCTTTCTGTGTGAATAACAAGTAAATGGATATTTTGATAAACTATCAATATAAAAATTTTGGTATTTAGAAAAATGTGTAATAATATATAAACATAGTTACAAAAACAAAAGAAAGCATAATACTATAATAATATAATAATATTTTAATACATTGTAAAAAATAACACACACACACACACACACACACACACACACACACACACACACACACACCACACATATAAGATATATTTTTTTCTTTGAGATTGATAAATAATATGTACAGATATTTAATTATAAATATTTTAATAACGTAGTAGTTATTCTATATTATTGGCTTTTTTACTTTTAATATGTGCATAATGAATTTTTTATCTAATATATAAATTTAAAATAACTTATATAAAAACAGCAGAATTTGCAATAGATTCAAAAATTAAACAAAAGCAATTAGATCAAATTTAAATGTGCCATAACAGGTGATAGGTGAACCGACATAATAGTTTAAGTAAAATTAAAATAAAAATAAATGATGTATTAATAAGCACAAGCAAAATGAAAAGACGAATATTTTATGATATTTACATAATTTAATATTCAAAAAAATTTAACCACACAGATTAGAAAAAGCTTTAACCCTAAAATACATTACAAAATATTGTAAAAACATAATAAATAACCATATAAAATTATTTATATTAATGTAAAAATTTCCATTTTTATATAAGAATTTTAAATATTTATAATTTTATTTATTATTTAAATATTATTATATATCATTATGTACACTTATAATTACTAAAAATAAATAGGCAAGTATTTTTAACACGTGTAAATTCAGTTTAAATATAAATAATAATAACACATAAACAAAGATACATGTGATTTTTTTTTCTTTTTCAAATATTTACCAAAAAATGTTTAACAGAGCAAGGGATTTTTCACAGTATTTGCCATAATATTTTTTCTTCTGGAGAAAGTCTTATTTATTTTATTTCAGCAAGAATAAAAGCAGTTTTAATTTTTTAAAAATGAAGTTTTAAGGTCAACATTATTAAACCCCTTAAGCAATTTTTTCCCGATTGTCTACAAAACAAACCATCGTTAGTGACTTGCCTAATTACCCTAACTTGTCTTATTAGCCCTAACCTAGTTAATTATTTTAGTATCTTGAAAAATATCTAGTAAAATATTATGTACTATTATCATGGCAAAGATTAAAAAAAAATCAGTTATTAAAAATTACTCATTAAAACTATTAGGTTTAGAAATATGTTGAAAAAATTGGGGGAAAATATAGAGGGGCTCTAATAATTGAGAAAGGCTATCTGACTTTAATTTTATAAATATAAATGGTTGTGTACATTTTATTAAATGTAACTGAGGTGAGTCTTACCTTTTCCTCTTCTTTCTTCACTGTCTTTAGGTTTGCTTTAAAGTCAATGGACTCTTTGTGTTTGGCACCGAGCAGAGCTCCCAACATGGCATCAGCAGACACTCGCACTCTCTTCAAGGCAGGTCTCTTCATTTTACCCTTCAGCTCGAAGATTTTATGGTTTAAATCTACAATCTATGGTATTAAAAATACACACCAATAAGTGCTATTCAATAAGTAACAAATACGTTCAATAATGCTTCTACATCATCAACATGTACCTCTTTTTCATTTTTGGTAACTTTAGATTGAACATCATATCGCTCCTCATCAACTACATCGATTTTTTGGTGCAGTTCTTTGCATAAATTCTGTAAACAGAGCACTGGCGAGTGAGAAAGAACTTTATGAAGCGAATTCTGACTTAAAATGCGTACAAATATGAACCTGTAAGTCCTGAACCGACAGTCCGGAGAGTTTGAGAGGAGGACCTTTTTCACTAAGGGTTTGCTCTCTGTCCAGCCTTTTCTGCTCTTTCTCCTCCTCAAGCAATGTGCTCGCCTTCTTCAAGATTTTGGTCTGGAATGCATTAAATTAGGAGGATATGCTCATGTAATATACATAGATGCACAATGGTTAGACTAGTTGTGTATTCTGAATACTGGCTTACGAACTCATTTATACACAGGGAGTTTGAGGGAGGCACTTAAAACCTTCAATTCGATTGCAAAACATGGGGCAAACATTTGACCAAGTTTTATAATAAGACTGGGTTATACATTTGTTTTTAAAAATGATTAAAAAAAAGATGATTACAAAAGACATTTAAACATTTTTTATGCTCTTTAAGCCAAAATATGGTTTAGTGTTTTAATGTGAAGACAAACATTATCATTAATATTGCAAATAAAATTCTATGGAATATAACAATATAATATAATTATTATTATTGTTTTTGTTGTAAAATAGTATTTTCAATAATTTATTTTATAAAAATATTTTAATTTCAATAAATAACAAAAATATTTAAAAAAAATATTAATCATATTATTATCACTGTAAAGTAATATTTTTCACAGATTTATTTTATAAAAATATTTTAATTTATCAATAACAATAATAATTAAATAATAATAATAATCTTATTCTTGTAAAGTCATATTTTTCTCTGATTTATTTTACACAAATATTTTAATTAATTAATCAGTTATTAAATAATAATAATGTTACTAATTATTTTCTTTACTGAAATATTTTATTACAATATTTTAAATAATCATCTAATAAATAATAATACTATTACTACTAGTACTAGTACTACTACTACTACTACTACTACTACTACTACTACTACTACTACTACTACTACTAATAATAATAATAATAATAATAATAATAAAAAATTGCAATTAGATGCGTTTCTCACATTTAAACAAAAATTATTATCCAGTTTAAGGTCATTGACTGGCCATCTGTAGGAGTGGTAATTAGAAAGAAAAAAAAATACTCACTTTTAAAAACAGCCGTCGAGATGCTGTAATCTTGGGCTTACTTCTCTAAAGTAGAGAAATTATGTAATAATTAGTGTTGTCACAATACTGCAATTTCCAAGTTTGATACAATACCTTGAAAACATTGATATTCAATACGATTTTCAATACCACTAAAAGTATGCAAATGAAGTAAAATTACTAAACAATATGATGCTTTTATAAGGTACAGCAGCAGTCCTTATGTCCAAAAAGCAACAAACTATATTAATAAAAAAAATCACATTTTCTAATTAAAAGTGTTCAAGTGTTCAAATCTTAATATTATTATTAATTTTTCATCTTCCCGCTGGTGAGAAGAGAGAGTGTGAGAGAGCAAAGCCAGTATCGAGCAAAAGCAAGATTGTATCATTTAAAATATTTCAGTATCAATATGTATTGATATACAGTATCAATATTTTAGACAAAACCATTGATAATATATAAATAAAAATACATAAAGTGTCAAATTCATCATATTGTTTTAATATGTTGTTACTCACCGGGCTGCCAAAGATATAGGAGAAAAAATAAAATCAAAATTTTATTTTATGTGTAAACATACAGTATGCATCACTTTTTTTAAAATATGTAATAATTTATTATTTGCATAAGGGTCAACAAAAAAATTCTTAAAATACTTACGTAGATTCAGACATGTTTGTTTTGTTTCTGAAGACTTAAAAATGGCACATATTTGTTAAAAAAATTGTGTTCATTTTACAAACAAATAAGCATGGATAACATGAGTACTTGCATAAAAAATACTGCTTCAGTTTTGCTATATCAAAATATCATGTGTAATTGGCTTTTATTTATAACTCTTTATGAAATTAACAAGCAATTTCTAAGCGGGGTTATAATAATGAACTTGGTTCTATCACACATGTGAATCGATTCAGTTGTTCCGAAAAAGTGATTACAATTGTTACATTGTTGCTCTTTGCTCTTGGAGTGGTTCGCTTTCACACTGCAAAGTTTCTAATCTGACCAAAAGAGCTAAAACAAGTCACGTGTGAGTAAACTCTCCTCACATTGGTCAGTGTCAGGGTTTATTTTGCAGAGTCCTACGCAGCTGTTAGGAGAGGTGGTTTGGTGGGGTTTGACAAGGAGGGGTTAGAAGGGTGCCTATTTGAGAACCGGGAGAGAGACGCGAGATTACCGAGAGATTATCACTCGTTTGTGGGCATCTAGGAGACTCGCGAAACTTCCCGCCCTCCTCATAATTCTCTCTTCAAATAGCCGTATGCCTATTACATATCCATAAGATACTGTGATATAACCGCGCTCGGATCCTTGGAGCGATTGATTTGGCGTGGATCCTGCTGGTTTCACATATGCCAAACAAACCGTGCTAACTGGGCAAACGAGACAGGTTCCGAAACAAAATTGTTGGTGTTAAAGCACCCTGAAACATTATAAAACAATAATCAAACTAAATAATTTTTGTTATTTGAAAAAAAGAATAAAAACATATTTTATTTCTGCTAGTTGAAATATAAATATTTATCATTGTATTTCAAATAAATATATTTAAATTTAAGTAAATAAACAATTAAATAAGTAAATAAATCTCAATTTAAAGTATCATGTTAATTAAAATAACTAAAGCTAAAATGAAAACCATTATAAAGTATAGACATATTAAGAAAAAAAAAACTCAAAAATAACTAATACTTAAATAATATTTTAATAATTATAATTAAAAATATAGAAAAAGTAAAAATCTAACTACTAATAAATCCAAAAAACTTCACTACTTTTATAAAGCAATATTTTAAAATAATGTGCTTTCCTTTTTTCAGTGTAAGAAAATCAATTTAACATCACACATGAATAGCTTAAGCAGTCGATATACCCTAGAGGTCCTTACCTCAGATGATGGAAGTGTGACTTTGTTTTGGCCACAGGGAAGAAAGTCTGCAGATTTATAGAGTCTGATGTACTCGTAAGAGGCTCACTAAAATAGACCACTGTTTACAGCATTATCACTGTCAGATGCTTCACATTGCGGCCGCAGAGTGACAGAGCACCTGGTGCTCAAATGTACTTTATGTTCTCTGGACTAAGGGTGAGACAATAATACTCGAACAATCATTCATCACACTATACAGTTTAAATCAGAGTTAAACAGCAACCTACATTTTACATCGAGGTCACTGCTTAGTCTTATTTCAACCTAACAAGAGTGAAAGTATTAGACAACATTTTAAGATTCATCCCAGTTATTGTTATTCAGATGTTCCTTCTGCAAAATCTTCATTGTGTTCATAACTCAATAAACCAGCATGTTTTCCTGAGAAAAATAAGCCACGTCACACAGCAAAACAGACAAAAGCAGTTTCTTGAAGCTGAAAATTGAAATAATTAAATGGCGGCCCAGAGTCCTGACCTAAACCTGACTAAAAATCATTGGCAACAACGTTATGGGTAAGAAAAACGACAGTGAGTGAAGAAGTGGTGTCCAGTTAAATCCAGTTAGACTAGTGATGTTCTGTGAGAGAATAGGGAAGTATATGAGAGACTAGTGTTGGTATTCGTTACAAGGCCTCTACATGCTCATTTTTGACTGCTGTAACCTTCAGAACTTAAAATGACTTTGTACTACTAAAACTCCGTTAAATTCTGAATAATGAAGATCATGTATATTATATTATATTATATTATATTATATTATATTATATTATATTATATTATATTATATTATATTATATTATTTTATTATTCATTGCCAGAGTGAAATGAACTGCCAAATTATCCAGCACGTTTTACACAGCATATGCCTTTTCAGCCGCAATTCATCACTATTATAATTATATAATATAATAATAATAATGATAACATATTTATATTTTCAAATTTTTACCTCCACTGTATGTGTGTGCGCTGTCTTATCACGTGTAGTTTAAAATGATATATAATTTCAGGTAAGCCTTTTTAGGGTTGTTTTGAATGGGTTAGGTTTTTTTTTTTCTACATTCTTTACATGCAAGTATGAAAAAATTAAAATAATATCTGAATCTAATGACATATAGGATTTTTACATTATATTTAGATATTTTCTTAAAAATTCTGATCTGAAATGACAGATAATCATGAACAAGAGACCTCAAACAAAGTGATATCTGACCGCAGTTTTTCTTCTTCCTGGTATGTTGTTGTAGGCTGCCATCAATCGGTTTAAAGAAGAACTGCAGCTGTATTAAATATTAGCAAATGTCTACGGCTCTCTATTTAGTGTCTGCGTTCAATGGCAAAGTATAACGTTTATTTAATTACTGTTTTGAGGCTGCATGGTCATTCTTAATTAGAGTTTTTTATCTCATCAATTTTTGTTTGTTTGTTTTGAATATATGGGAGACTGGAACACCCAGAGGAAACCCACGTGAAGGCAGGCAAACTCCACACAGAAACGCCAACTGAGCCGAGGTTCGAACCAGCGACCCAGCCACCTTCTTGCTGTGAGGCGACAGCACTACCTACTGCGCCACTGCCTCGCCCCATATTTAGCATAATTTAACTTCAGTAAATTATGGCAAAAGGGAATTTTGTTGATTTGAACCTTGAAATCTCCTTTTCATCTGACTGGTTAAGAGCATTTATTTATATATGTAACATTGTACAAAACCTTTAAATCAATGTGTTTATTCCACCATTCCTTATAGGTTGGTATGTGGTAATACTTTACAATGTGGTTGCATTTGTTAACCCATATAATTAGTTTTGGTGGTATAAATTAGCATAGTGCTTTTTAGGTTGCATTTATATAATATAATATAATATAATATAATATAATATAATATAATATAATATAATATAATTATAATATAATATAATATAATATAACATAACATAACATAACATAATATAATATAATATAATATAATATAATATAATATAATATAACATAACATAATATAATATAATATAATATAATATAATATAATATAATATAATATAATATAATATAGGTAGTGCTGTTGCCTCACAAGAAGAATGTCGCTGGGTCGCTGGTCCGATCCTCGGCTCAGTTGGCGATTCTGTGTGGAGTTTGCATGTTCTCCCTGCATTCGCGTGTGTTTCCTCCGGGTGCTCCGGTTTCCCCCACAGTCCAAAGACATGCGGTACAGGTGAATTGGGGAGGCTAAATTGTCCGTAGTGTATGAGTGTATCTGTGGATGTTTCCCAGAGATGGGTTGTGGCTGGAAGGGTATCTGCTGTGTAAAAATGTGCTGGAAAAGTTGGCGGTTCATTCCGCTGTGGCGACCCCAGATTAATAAAGGGACTAAGCTGAAAAAAGAAAATGAATGAATGAATAATATAATATACAGTAATATAACATAATATATATTTATTTTACTTGAATGTGAAATAATGTGAAGGTGAATGTGAAACTTGAATTATTTTACTTAGATGTTGCGACTTGTATGTAATTTTTTTCATTCATAACCTCAAGCAACAGTAAAAATAATATAAAGTTATTATATTAATATTATAAACATAAATAAAAATAAAATAATGTTAAATATGGCATTTACTTATAAAATACTTGAGCTGCATGAACAAACCATCATTGGTTTATTTTTATTAACTTTCATAATGTTAAACACAAATGTATTGCAGTTTTTTATGTACTGTCAGTTAGGATTAAGAACTGTTTTATAGCAGAACCTTGGTTTGTGTTTTTGTCCAACCCATCTTTGAAAATTGGCAAAAATTATGCATGCCGGACCAGTATATGGTGATATCACTTTATAGAAATAATATCACTGGGTTCAATTCGAAAGGGATCATCCCTATGCCCTAAACCAGGGGTCACCAAACTTATTCCTATAGAGGTCCGGTGTCCTGCAGATTTTAGCTCCAACCCTAATCAAACACACTTTATCAAGGTAATCAAGGTCTTACTAAGTATAATTGAACAACCAAGGCAGGTGTGTTGAGGCAAGTTGGAGCCCTCCAGGACTGAGATTGGTGACCCCTGACCTAAACCCATCTGAGGGCCCCACTTAAGGGATTATGGCATTTGGATAAGCCTTTTTGAATTGAGTGCAGTTTGTGACACCAAACAAATTCCCTGCTCAAAGGATCATGGCTCAAAGTGTCTATCAGTTGTATTTTTCACAATCCTTCAAAGTGGCCAGTTTAAGGTTTGGAAAGACATCTCAATAAAGGCGGACATGATTGTCATTGAAGTGTCCTACAGAGGGTAATATATACAGTTTGGAAGGCACAAATTGTCTTTGCACACATACGGTACAATCTACCCTTATTGTTTTTGTTGTTAAAAATGATCCAAAAAAGTGCACTTTCAAACCATTATTAAAAATAGTTTCAGTCCCTTAAACACTTTCAGGTTTTTGTTTTTAGTTTAAAATGGTATCATGTAAATCTTCTAAAGAATATTTATATAATAGAGCTCACACCAGACCTACTGTATAAAAACAATATTGTTACTACACTGTAAAACCCAAAAAGTTATGGTAACTCAATCCATTTGAGGAAACCGGTTGCAACAAACCATTTAAGATCAATAACTAATCCTAATGAGTTTTGTGAACTAAATCTATTTGAGTAACCGAAACAATTTGAGCACAGTAAAACTTGATAAATAAAGAGAACTCAAACCAACTAAACTGTAAAACCCAAAAAGTTAAGGCAACTCAAACAGTTTGAGAAAACCGATAACTACAAACCATTTGAGTTAAAAAACAAATCAATACGAGTACTGTGAACTTACTTCATTTGAGTTAAAGTAATGAGGTACTTAATTAACTCATTACCTTCAACACTGAGTTCAAAACTCTTTTGAGTAACTCAAGTGAGTAGAATTCACTTTCAGTAATATTTGAGTTTTTAGAGTTTTTGAGTTGAGTTTTTTAAGTTAACGACACTCATTTCATTTGATAAAGTTGACTGTTGGTTTTTACAGTGTACATTCATTCATGACATTTTTTTTCTACAATATTGAACAATAAAGACTGACAAATTCAACCAATCAGAATCCTTTAAGTACAGACTTATAATAAACAGAACATCATCATGCATTGGTGTGGACTAATTCTATATGTTTATTTTTTAAGTTATTTTTTAAGATGATGATAAATGATGTTAGCAATGATCCGTTTGCCTTAAAATGAAATATTACAGCATTACTGTATGAAACATTTGAGGCCATCTCTGATTTGGTGTTGCTCCCAACTACAAGACAAATAAAGAGGTTTTATGTGCTACATAAAGTAATTATTTAAAATAAAATGATAAATAAAAATGAGGGCCTGTGTGCCATAGTTTTTAACCTCTTATTGTCCAGCATCAAACAGCTTCTTCCGGCCCTCCATTCCAGAGATGGCCTCCACATTCTTACACCAGTCGGTCACCTCTTGGGCAAAAACACACAATTTATGAATATTAGCGATTTACAGATTTAAAATATTTAATGTTGTCTTTATCTTCTCCTCATCTTTCTTTACTGTCTTCAGGTTAGCTTTGAAGTCAATGGACTGTTTGTGTTTGGAGCCTAGAAGGACTCTCAGCATGTGCTCAGCCTCTTGTGCTCACTCTCTTCAGGTTAGGCCTCTTCAGCTTGCCCTTCATCTCAAAGATATTTTGACTCATTTCCTGGATCCTTATAAACACATCCTTTGAGCTGCTAAACTAACAGTTCAGATTCAGTGCTAAAAGAACACTAGTTTTAGGGAAATTTCATTTTGAAATTAAATTTGTTTCATTAAAGGATTTGTTGCCTCAAAAAATAAAAATTCTGTTGTTAAATACTCATCCTCATGTCGCTTCAATAACCTGAGACCTTCATTCATCTTTGGAACAAAATTTATATTTTAGATGAAATCCTGTAGCTATCTCTGGCTCCATAGACAGGAACAGTTCCAGAATGTTCAGAAAAAGAATACATTGTCAAATTATTCCACGTGACTTCAGTGTTTCAACTGTAATCATACAAAGCTCCAAGAACACTTTTGTGCACCAAATAAACTGTAAAAATGACTTTGTTCTCTCTTTCTCATCAATTCATCAGGGTGTGCATTTAAAATTGGCAGTATGACATGTCATAGTCAGCAGCACAACACAGAAGTACTGTATCTTATAATAGGGCTCCATTGAGCGTTTAATATTCACTTTATTCTTTACTTACGAGCTTGGGCATCCATTTGCATCTTTATGGCTTGAGACATCACTCATTTTTCAACATTAAAAACAGCACGTTATGCTGCTTGATGTTGCAAACTTATATTTTCATATTATATGATTTCGCCTTGTTTGTATAATCATGCAAACACTTGTTTGTAGAGCGAGTAGTTTGACTGTTTTTCTGCAGTTTATTATTCCTAGTCATTTCTACTATAAGCAGCAGAATCAAAAGTTTTAAAACAATTGCGAAAACGGCCGCACTTACGCATGAAAGAATAAGGTCAATACAATGCTTCTGAGTTGAGCTGCTGACTCTATTGGCATTATGTCAAACTGCCAATTTTAAATGAACACCCTGATGACCTGAAGAGAAAGAGAAAACAAAGTAATTTTCACAGTTTATTTGGTGCACAAAAGTGTTCTTGGAACTTCGTATGATTACAGTTCAACCACTGAAGATAAACAAAGATCTTACAGGTTTGTTACAACATTAGGGTGATTGATTAATGACAGTATCTTTATTTGTATTATTATCTCTTTAACCCTCATGTTTTCATAGAACTCTGTGAACATCATTCACCCTTCAGGTAAAAAATGACCCACCATTACTAAACCTGTAAAATAAAGGATCTAAATTTAATTGTAACCCTTAAATCTATTTTGCATGAAGAAATAACTCCATCTTCATCACAAACTCTGTGAATGTCTAGGTTTCCCTCATGAGTTTGGAGTTTTTCATCATTGTTTAATGAGTGGGCACCACTTGGAAGATTACTTTGTTCTATAGTAAATGATATATTTTTTAATGCTAAAAACACATGAAAAATGAAAAATTTTAGCAAGACGAGATTCATAAAAGTTAAAGCAGCATATTCTACAGTTTAGTGTTCTGGCGTAATAAAAAAAAAAAAAAAAAAAAAAAAAAAAAATATATATATATATATATATATATATATATATATATATATATATATATATATATATATATATATATGTGTGTGTATATATAATTATTATTTTTTTTAATGTTGGGGTCATTGTTGGAGAAGTCACCAAACTTTAAGATAAAAAAAAAACATTGTTTAGTTTTTTCTGCTGCTAAAATGGCCATTTTTGATTCGTAAGCAGTAAATTACATAAGTATACAGTTTTTTGTACCTCTTTGTCATTTTTGGCCACCTTAATGCTGATGTCATAGCGTTTCTCATTAATCATATCATTCTTTTGATGCAAATTCTTGCAGAGTTCCTACACACAAAACAGAGTTTAAAGGAATAAAACAGTTTACTTGAAGTCTGTATGTAGGATGCATTATAAAAGTAAAAGTAATTTCTGGAGGGTCATAAGTGTTTCTCACATATAGTGGTGAGATTGAGAGGGAAACTAAACTCTGCTTGCAAAGAGTTTGACTTTTGAAAGAACTATTCAGTTGTGAAAGAACAGTGTAAGTATAGGTATGTGGAGATGCCCCAGGATCGAGAGTCACTATTGACTTTCCTAGAATCTACATCTTCTTCCATCTCCGATCTTGCCCTTTAAGCAATACCAGTCTACATCACTGCTGGTGGGAGAGGCTGGTTAAGTCCTTTACACCACGGCAGTGTGCAATCTCCACCATCAGCATTTCCATTGCTGTTTACAGTAGCCTCATCTTCAGGATGCCAGATCTGTTATTATCATGCATGCCAAAACAAACATTTTCTTTTTTTTCTATTATGGACAAATAAATTACTATTATTAATACACTTTTTTCTTAAACCCAATGATTTTGTATACATTAGGGCTATACTCCATTAATATCATGGTCATATATTTCCTCAATGTGAAAAAAAAGATTTTTTGAAATTGTTGCAAATAAAAAATAAAAAAACCTGAAAAATCAGATGTACACAAGTATTCAGCATTTATGTTTGGAGAAAACCAAGCACAGCTCATCACCAGGCTAATACCAAACCCGTTTTTCAGCAGCAGGAAATGGAAGACTAGTCAGGATAGAGGGAAAGATGAATGCAGCAATGTACAGAGACATCCTGAATGAAAACCTGCTTCAAAGTGGCTTCACAACAACTTTGTGAATGTCCTTGAGTGACCCAGCTAGAGCCCAGACCTAAATACTATTAACATCTCTAGAGAGATCTGAAAATGACTGTATATTGTCACTTCCCATTCAACCTGATAGAGCTTGAGAGGTGCTGCAAAAAGGAATGGGCAAAAATTCCCAAAGACAGTTGTGCCAAGCTTGTGGCATCATATTCATAAAGACTTAAGGGTGTAATTGCTGCCAAACATCAACAAAGTATTGAACAAAGGCTGTGAATACTTATGCACATGTGATTTTTCAGCTTTTTGATTTTTTTATAAATTTGCAACAATTCAAAAAAATATTATTTTTTTTCACATTGTCATCACAGGGTATTTTGTAACGAATTTTGAGGAAATAAATGTATTAAATAAATTTAATCCATTTTGGAATAAAGCTGTAACATAATAAATGTAAAATGTGAAGCGCTATAATACTTTCCAGATGCACTGTATAATTTGCTTACCACAGTTTTACTAAATTTAACCATAATTTATACAAAGATCATGGGGCTTTATATTTAAGAAAATCTATACCTGCTGAAAAAAAAACTAAAAATAGAAAACATTTTCAAAACAATTTCTAATAATACAGTGACAGTATCTCTAGTTGTATATTTTATTTTATTTTTTAGCAGGAATTAGAATTAGCATATTACATTTTACTATGGATATTGATCGAAAAGTACACAGACTTAAAAGATTTTTTTTTTTTTTTTTGGAAGATTTTAAAGCGCCATATTTATATATAGAAAACCGATATGCTACACATTGTAATTATAATTTAGGTCAGCAGGTGGCGCTCACCTTCAAGCCCAGCCGACGAGCTGACGTGATCTTGGGCTTTGGCTTTGATTTAGGTGTTCAGTTGAAGCATTCTGTGTAACATGGAAGAGAATGTTGATTGAGACATATGACAGATATCATAATTCAGTCCTTTTTAAAGATGAAGATAATATACTCACGCGTCAGACATCTTCCTGTGCTCTTCGTTTATCTGCAGTATAAAGTAACCATTTAATACAATCATTTCTACTTTGAAATACATAATAGGGAAATTAACAAACTAGAATCATCAAAATGACACAGATTTAGTAGAAATTGTTGTGCTATTTAAAGTTTATAATGACCTTTTACGTGTTTAAATACTATTTTTAGATTCAGTTTATTCTAATGATTTTAGTAGCTATTTAATAAAGTGTTTTTATTCATTGGTTTAAAACATTATTAGATAAATAATAATAATAATTATTATTATTATTATATAATAAAATATTAATCAATAATTTATTTGCATGATTGTTTGTTTGTTTCAAATAATTAAAATGTATTTAATAGTTTCAGTTTTTTTCAGGTTTTTGTTTTCACACTGGATTTTAAGCATGTTTTCTGCAGGTTTCATCAAACCAAATTTAAGACTTTGTAACACCCTTTTAAGAATTAAATTTAAAAGTTTATAAAGGGCTAAACACAAATGATTTTTTGTAAAAGCCCTTTTTTTTATCAAAATCAAATGTAGTTATTTCTTAACCAAATATCATAATGTGTCTAGTTGTGTACACTTTTTTTTCAACATGTTTCATTTTTTATAACAAGTTTAGCATTGTTAAAAGTTTACTTATTATGAAAATAAAATACAAAATACATATTTGTTTGCTTTTTGTCCAAATTAATTAAGTATAATTCCCGTTCAACCAAATACAGATCATGTAAAGGAATATATTGCTGTTATTATAATGAGGAATTATGTAATTGATTTTAGTTTTCTTGTCCTGATTAGGGAATTTTATTAAAATAATTTGCTGTAAAAATTGTGAATTGAATCTCTTTGCAATAAGAAAAAAACTATTATATATATATATATATTTAGATGAACTGTTAGTAATTGGATAAGTGTCTTTTAAAATTAAGACCAGTTTAAAATTATTTAAGACCTAAAACACAATATATTTGTGAATTTAATACTTTTTAAGGCCTAAAATTTTGTTTTTGAAATTTAAGACATTTTTAGACTTTTTAAAACCCTGCGGACACCCTGTTAAACTAAAAGCAAGCTTGAGTCCATATTTGTCTTCAGTTAGTTATCAAAGCAGCATTTCTTGTTTGTATGTAAATAGCACATATAAGTAAATAGAGTTATACTTAAAAGCCGACAGATAGTAGTTGTATACATGTAAAGTATTAGTACATAAACAATTCTGATTTTTTTTTATTGATAGGTTTAATTTAATGAATGTACATATTTTAATCGTTCTTATGCTTAATAATAACAAAATTAATCATATAGTGGAATAGTATAAACACAAGAAAGAGAATATAAAGTCATTTAAAGGGTAATGCTGCCTGCAAGTATCACTTTTCATATGCATTGGTTATGCAAAAATACACATTTTTTTCAAAACAACAGTCAACATAAACATCTTATTATTTCAAAAATCATTTAATAGCAGAAAACACAGCATCATTCTTGTAATAAACTTTTCATATTTAATACAGTATTATGCAATATTTGAAAGGTCATGCATAAATGAATAGTAATCCCTTAATGACAGTGGTAATCAGATCCTTTAATGTATCCGTTTGACCTGTTAGTCCTCTACACAGCGGTAAGAGCTCTGTGAATAGCGTTCCTCAATTTTAGCATAGGTGAAAATCTTACGGGATTGTCGCTAATTTGAGAAACATTGCAATAGATAATGCAAATGTGCCCAATTTCCTACCAAATCTAAACAAATAACATTTACATATCTACAACCACATCAGGATTATTTAAATATAAACCCTTTTAATGACTAATTTGCCTTTAAAAATGCTCAAAAAATGAATCAAAAATGAAGAGACTTACCTGCTAAAAGAAGCAAAGACAGGAGTGAGAGTTTACTGGCTGACCGGGGATGAAAATCCTTAGAAATTTATAGTATCAGCCTTAAGGGCAACGTCTTACTAAAATAGACACCTGTCTGTGCCGCTCTACTGACATTTACTGTTCACACAGTAAACTAGCATAGTAAAACGTTCGTTTAGACGGGGCTATGTAGTTTGAAGCGATCTGAATACCTTCCGATACCTACAAATTGTAATGTGCTTTTAGTTAGAGCTGCACAATATATTGATTCAGCATATGCCAATGTGTGCATCTGCAATAGACACATCACAGAATCTGCAATTTCGAGTTGGAATTATAGCTGACTTGGAACTACATTGTTTGTAAATTGCTTGTGTTTTTAAGGCCTGTGACGATTTCATGCAAATTCAAACCATTTGTGTATGAGAAATGACAGCTTTTGTAGCTTAAACAAAAATTAATCGTTTACATTTTTATGCAGTGAAGACTATAGTGTTATTTATTTACATTTGATTATTAAATGTCTGTACCTGAGCACTCTCCAGAAAACTACTGTATAAAGCCCCATTTCATTTCATTTTGTTTTGCTATATTTTATTTATATATGCTACAATTTGTTTGTTATATTTCATGCAAATGCACTGCCCTACATCCCCATCAGTCTAAAATGATTCATTCTTTCCCAATAGAGCTGTTCAAGTCATCTGGTGAAATTATATTCATATTGCAATATATGTATAAAAACAAAACATCATAGTGCCCTTACTTTTAATGCACTAGCAGTGCTCATAATAGAAATATAAAATTAGATGTCAGATAATATTTAAATATATACATTAATTATATGAATGAACATGAATTTTCATATCCTAATATTTGTCATTAATATTTTAGATAATATGTATATTCAGTACACAGTTATATGAAAAAAAAGCAAGAGACTACTTGACAATTCTCTGGTTTTAACATTTATTAGTTTTAATCTGTAAACTACACTGTTAACAATTTCTCAATCAATTACTTGCAAACATGGGCCATATCACCCTGCAGCCCAAGACCGGTTACTCACTGAAGCTAAGCAGGGCTGAGCCTGGTCAGTACCTGGATGGGAGACCACTAGGGAACACTAGGTTGCTGTTGGAAGTGTTGTTAGAAGGGGGTGGTCAACCTGAGGTCTGCGTGAGTCCTAATGCCCCAGTAAAAGTGAAGGGGACACTACACTGTCAGTGGGCGCCGTCTTTCGGATGAGACGTTAAACCGAGGTCCTGACTCTCTGTAGTCATTAAAAATCCCATGGCACTTCTCGTGAAAGAGCAGGGGTGTAACCCCGGTGTCCTGGCCAAAGTCCCTCTATCGGCTCATACGATCATGGCCTCCCAATCATCCCCTTCCACCGAATTGGCTCAATCACTGTCTCCCCACTCCACTAGTAGCTGGTGTGTGGTGAGCGCACTGGCGCTGGTATCGTGTGGCAGCCGTCGCATGATCCAAGTGGATGCTGCACACTGGTGGTGGTGTGGAGAGACCCCCCTCATGATTGTGAAGCGCTTTGGGTGTATGGCCATACACAATAAATGCGCTATATAAATACACATTACATCACATTATAAACATACTGTATTTACATTTACAGCACTATTTATCTTGCTATATGTGCATTTAAAATATTGTATCTTACTGTAAAATATACAGTCATTTTCACAATGCAACTTTAAAATACAGTAACTTACCTCATTACCGTTCTACAGTACAATCAATTTCATATTACAGTTAAAGGTAAGTTATTACAAATCGTTACCAATGTACTTATGACATTTCCTCCAAATTTCATTTGGTCGTTTAGATCATTTTAAAAAAAGGTGCCATGTTTACTTTTAGACAACACTATACTAACTAACTCTACTATACTATCTTTTTCTTATGGAGCTGCGTCAATTTTGTCACTGAATATTAAGTAAACAAATCTCACAGAATTTAACTAATGAGATGTGGCTTTATATATTACAACATTTTCATATTTTTTAACTGATTAAATCTAACAGGATTTGATTTCAACAGATTTAGATTGATTCTAAGAATTCTGACAGCATACATTTAAAAAAAAATGACAAATTAAATGAAATCAGAAAGTTACAAGCAGTTAATGGTGAAAACTCTGGTTCACATAGTTGTATTTACAATAGGGTACTGTACATGCAGAGCTAGTGTTGTTCCCATACACATAAACCTCCGGTGACATGTATTGTGATTTTTGTTCCATTTTATACAGTTCCTTTTACAGCATCGATGTTGTAATGTAATTAAAATACATTCAGTTAATTAAACTTTGGCATTAATTTAGTTGTTCAAGCGTAAAACGAAACAAAAGGCCTTTTACTCGCACTCACCCGTCAGAATCGGCAGGCTAGCACGGAGCTCCATTGAATATACTAGGGTAAAATAAATGCTCATATTATAAAAACATGGCAGGAAAAAAAATAATTTAATGCAGTGCTTCTTATACAATCTGAAACCCACTTTATATCGGAAATCACTCAGCCAGTGTAGATCGCTAATTTTCAAAGAAAATTTACCTTAAACGGGCAGATTTTTGCATTGGCATACAGTTCTCTGAAAGCTCTTATCCCAGGTTACTGGCAAATTAAAAGTCCTGTTAGCATGCTTCAGCATATACCCTATTTGTTTTGCAGAACAAACAGGGTTTTGTAGCTTTGCATGATCTAAACATGGACTTTTTTTGGTCGATTTTCAGATTTGAACATTGCTCCATATGGATCATGAGGGAACTCTCGATTTCATTGAAAATATCTTGATTGGATGGGACTGGAACGATGTGGGGGTAAATAATCAATAACAGACTTTTCAATTTTGTTGAACAAACCCTTGAAGTTGCACATCGCAGTTCATCTAACAGCCACTGGTGTCGCTAACAACAAGAGTTTAACTATAGATCCGTGCAGCACGGTGGTACAGTGGGTAGCACAATCTCCTCACAGCAAGAAGGTCACTGGTTCGAGCCCTGGCTGGGTCAGTTGGCATTTCTGTGTGGAGTTTTCTCCCTGTGTTGGTGTGGGTTTCCTCCGGGTGCTCCGGTTTCCCTCAAAAGTCTAAAAACAAAAGCTAAATTTTCCGTAGTGTATGTGTGTGAATGATTGTGTATAGATGTTTCCCAGTCATGGGTTGCAGCTGGAAGGGTATCCGCTGTGTAAAAAAAAAAAAGTTGGCGGTTCATTCTGCTGTGGTGACCCCAAATTAATAAAGAGGCTAAGCCGAAAATAAAATAAAAATGAAGGAGCCTGATTTATCAGAGGTCGCCACAGCGGAATGAACCGCCAACTATTCCGGTAAATGTTTTACACAGTGAATGCCCTTTCAACTGCAACCCAGTACTGGGAAATACCCATACACACTCTCATTCACACACACTCATACACTATGGTCAATTTAGTTAATCTAGTTCACCTATACTGCATGTCCTTGGACTGATGAAAACCGGAGCACCCGAAGGAAACCCACACAAACACATTACAAAAAATTTTAGAAACATTGTTCATGAAAATAAAAGAAATAGAACTATATAAAAATGAGGGAAAGGATAGAAGTATTAATAGCTAACATTTCCTACAATCTAAGTTTATACCAGTTAATTGCAATGTAATGTTATGCCATGACAGTCCTCTCATGAACGTGATAATTTCCATGCACATTAAGCAAGCAATTTTCTGGCAGGAGGCAACATGGTATAAATCTTTTCTTGAGTTTGGAGGACAGTGAGGTGGAAAAACTGTCTGATTGTAATGTGAGCTGCTTTAGTCACACCTCATTCTCTCTGAGGTGACGCTCCGAGACATGTAATGAATTACCACCTGCCGTTTGTCCTGGATATATTTTTAGGCCAGATGATGGGATGCCAAACGCCAAAGTTCTTGTCTTTAAATGGTATAGTGTTCATATGAAAACTGCAACAGGCAGTATGAACAGGCTTACTTTAGTTAACTAAAACTAATGCTAAAGACATTAAAAGGCATTTTGTTGCTTGAAATAATATGTTAACTGGAATAGTAGAATACTAAGAAATGTAAGTTTTGCAGTATATAAATAAACTAGTATCTCTGTTATTCTAGAATAACACTAGTAACAGTTCTTTGCTCATTTTTATGACATATTGTAATGTATTTTTTGGAGAAATATAGCTATGCCTTTAAGAGATCAATAAACATTTACATGACACTATTTTCAACTGAAAACTGAAAACATTAATGAACAAAAAAACATGAAGTTTACAATCACATGCACAGATATATTTTCTTGCTACAGTCATGTCTCAGTTAAAGGCAATGTATACTCAATTTTTTTAAGTTTTATTTGATTCATTTGATTAATTTCGATTCATTCAATTTATTCAACAGTAGTATATGTTTTAGTACGTCACATTGCCTGTCACTACAATCTGGTCAGTCATAGTTGATTACAGTTGATTTACAGTATTCCAACTCAAAAAATTACTTTTGCTGCTTGTTCAAATTACTTATTTAAAATGAGTTAGAAAGAACAAAATTCTTTAGTTTTTTTTTTTTAGGGACTTAATTGTTTCATGTTTGATGCACTTAAATTTGTAAAAATTATTGAGTTAACTGAATTGATTTGTGTTATGATGACATGAAGGAATTATGTGGAACCCACATAGTTTTTACAGAGTATATAGCAAATGAAGCATGCTGGAGCTCTTTAAAGCAGGATGGATTTTGATTCATTGTGTATTAGCCAGAAAAAATAGAAGCCTCTTACCTTTACATATACATGCTAGATGAAACCTAAATAAAATGATCACTAAGATCTGTTATTAGTTCTAAATTAGAAATAGAAATAGTTCTAAATTAGTGTACACACTAAACTCACTTATTATTAGTTAATACAAATCAATTCTTTTGAATGCAGTTAATGGTTTGAAAGCACTAAATAATAACAGACATCTGGTAACCTAATATCTCTGTGTATACAACATTTTAAAATACATTTAAAATACAACTTTTCATTCATTTTTCTTTAGCTTTGTCCC